AGAAAGAAAGAAAGAAAGAAAGAAAGAAAGAAAGAAAGAAAGAAAGAAAGAAAGAAAGAATGAAAGATGGCACAGGGTGTGTTGAAGATGAAGGGGTGATATCTGGAGAATAAAATTAAGGGGTGAGAGAGGATTATACTGGAAGAAGGAAAAAGGGAGAGGTAGAATGGCATAAATTATGTCACATAAAATAGACAAGAAAAGACTTTTACAGTGGGGGGGGGAATGGGAGAAGGTGAGAGGGAATGAGTATATCTTATTCTCATTGTATTTTGGCTTAAGGAGAGAATAACATACACTCTCAATTGGGTATGGAAATCTATCTTACCCCACAGGAAAATAGAAGGGAAGGGGATGAGAGAGCAGGGGGGGGGATGATAGAGGGAAGGGCATATTAGGGAAGGGGGTAATCAGAATAAAACACTTCTGAGGAGGGACAGGGTCAAAAGAGAGAATAGAATAACCAGGGGGCAGGATAAGATGAAGGGAAATATAGTTAGTTTTTCATAACATGACTACCATGGAACTATTTTGTATGACTACACATGTATAACCTGTATCAAGTTGCTTGCTTTCTCAATGAGGGCGGGTGGGGAGGGAGGAAGGGAGAAAATGTGGAACCCAAAGTTTAAAAACAAATGTTAAAAATCGTTTTCACATGCAACTGGCAAATAAGATATATAGACAATAGGGTTTAGAAATCTATCCTGCCCTACAGGAAAATCAAAGGGGATAAGGGAAGTGGGGGGCAGGAGGGGAGAGAGATAGAAGGGAGGGCAGATTAGGGGAAGGGATATTCAGAATGCACACCATCTTGGGATGAGGGGACAAGAAGGGGAGAAAATTTGGAACTCAAAATCTGGTGGAAGTGAAAAAAAACTAAAAATAAATTAATTTTTAAAAATGATAACTTTAAAAAAAAATAGTAGTCCCAGGCCAAATTTGTCAATAAGAGTGGAGAAGGGGAAAAAAGCCTAATTTTTTTCACCTGAAGAAAAATGCACCTCTAGTCAGAACTACCACGTTTGTGTTTATATAATATAGTATTGCTAATACAGTAACTCAGAACTATTCTCCCATAACATCAGATTAGATTAAGTTCAGATATACATTTTTAGGCTTTGTACCCACAGTTGAGTACCTGCTGCTGACCAAGTAAGACTCAGTAAGCAGAGGCTACCACTGCTCCCGACTATCACAATTACTCCTGACTTGATAAATCTGGTGCTCAGCCCAGAGCCTGATAAGGACATGGAGTAATGAAGAGGAGGGGGGAATATGGATGAAAAGAAGATCTCATTAACATTTTCTTTGATAAAATAATTTATTGTTTTATGATTTGTCCTTGGTCTCACTAATTCTTTAGGATTTTATTGCTGTATATATGTTATCTCATCTGATCCTCACAACCCTGAATGGTAGGTATGATGATTATCCGCATTTTACAGAGAAGGAAATGGAGGCTGAGGGATGTTAAATGATTTGCTCAGGGTCACACAGTGAATAAGTGTGTGAGGTGGGATTCTTTATTGGATGGGGGTCAATAAAAGTTACATTTATTATTTCTGCTTTTCTGTGTTTATGAGGTTTTTTAATAATCTAGAATACAGTCAATTTTTGTAAAA